CTAATAATCCGGGCTGATGATCGGACACCACATCCGACTAATGATCAACAAAACCTGGCACAGATTTCTGATGTGCGGTAATGTGATAATGTGATAATGTGACGCGTTTACAAGTCACACGACATATTTTAATTAATTACTGTTGCTCAACCAATCACAATTTATGAGATCAGCAGCTTCGCACTATGCTATATATTCACGCGTTTTGACTATTCACGCGTTTTGACTTCTCACGCGTTTTGACAAAGCTAATGGGAATAAACCCGAACGCGCTTTCAAACAATGGACGGATATTTTGATGCCACCTCTTCTGAAAGTTGGTCTCTTAACCACTTTGCCGAGTGGTGCGCCATTAACATTTCATGTAAAAAGAAAAGGATTTTAGATTATATGAAAAGTCTATGGAGAAAACGCTTAATCAATCTTTTTCGGAAGGAACAAAACTGAAAGTAAACCAAATGCACAAGGATAGTATTAGTTTGTAATGAACGAATGATTTAAGTTGCTGTAGCACACTTCAGGACTATTAGTCGGCTGGAGTGTTGAACTATTAGTTCGCTACAACTTCTTATATCATTTGAGCTTTTAAACTTCTGTAACACACTTCAGGACTATTAGTCGGCTGGAGTGTTGAACTATTAGTTCGTTACAGGCTTTCCTCATTTATGAAATAAAGAAAAATACAAAGGATGTTTATTACAGAATTTGTTTCTTTTATATTAGGCTCGGAAGTTATCCAGAAGTCAAAGTGATTATTTTAAATCTATGCCAAACTTGAAGGAAATCAAAAACGAGGAAGCTATTCGACTGGCGCAGATAAAAAGCTAGGAAGCCATACAACTAGCTAAGATTAAGGTACCTTTTTTATTAATAATTTATGTTTTTAAAATTTATTAACCCTTTTCTGTACAGTCGAAACATTTGCAAGAACATACCACCACAGTAATGGCATTCCATAAGAACATCGCTGAGGATCTCACCACTATTGATCGTGATGTGAAGCCTACAAAAAAGGTGAGCCCTGTTAAGACTTAAAGAATAAATACATTGAAACCGATTTATGACTTTTATTGCATGAAAGAAATCGACTAGAAAAAGAAAATCAATATGTTATATCGAAAGTTCAGAGGGAGATCATTCATCGGATCTAGACTACACGGAGAAACCCAAAAGAGTAAGTAATTTAATATTTTTTCACAGTTTTACACGATTATAAATATTCTTATTCTTATTCTAATACTATTGAATTTATCAAGAAACAGAAATCAAGATCAAAGCGACTACGAGGAAAAGCGAACTGTAATGATATGGACAAAGGTGACATTATCGTAGAAACTTCAGAGGATGAAAATACATTAAGCCTAGCTCAATCAACTATGACATCAAATATATCGGAAAATACTACTTTGTGCGAAATTTCTCCAAGTGCACCCCGACAATCCCTAACGTCATTAGATACTTCAGAAGATTTTGCCACTTCGCGTGAAAAGTACACTGATTCAATCAGGCTCTCGTGAGAGCACACCATGTCCAACAATTTATCCAGCTACTTTATCTATAAGTTTAAATATTTGATGCCGAAAGTTCTGGACCGTGATATGCTTGAACGATCTTGTCAAGTGTCTGTCTCCAATTCTTCGAGGATTTCGCAATGCTTTTCCTGATGCCAAATACATGTGGTTAGAAAAGGATGTACGATCCATAAAAGAGGCGAACGTTATGTTTGCAAGTAATTTCGGGGAACGAAAAACGGATCTACTCATTCTCAGGTTATCTGACGCAAGAGAACTTTTGAATGTTGAAGTATCTGAACCTCCATATAGATCAACAAAAAAACATACGGTTGGTGACCACTCTCTTAAATTTTCAGAACAATTGTTACCTGGAATAAAGGAATTAATTTTCTTTTGTAATCTTTCTTGTTCTACGAATTCATTTCGAAAAATTAAAAATTTTCATGTAACATGTGATTGCATCAAATGCCAATGGAATTATACAAGTAGCCAATTCAACAGCCAACTATTTCCTTTTGTCTGCTAGAGAAACAGCAAACAACGTAAGTCGATCCCCTATAACCTGAATACTGTAGGTTCTAACTTTTTTTGCATCTTCGATATTGCAATCGAGGCTATTTCTTAGGCTTCGACATAGACTGCAGATAGCCATCACTAACAGTTTCTTTACGTCACATCTACCGGATGATGATATTTCACTCGTTACAGAAGATATGGATGAAATATTTTTTGAGGTTAAAATAATTTAGATATAGTAGTTATTTGTTGCTGTAATGCATAAATATTAATAAAGTATTTTAATTTGATTTATGTTATACATCGGAAATCAGAAAAATATACTTTATGTTTGTTCAATCTTTCAGCTCTGATAAGTAATTCATCCAAAATACACTAATAAAATTCCTTGCTAAAATTAATAGTATATATATTCACATTATTTTTTTCTCTATATGACATATAATCTTTACATATATTTACTACATCATATTACTACATCTGTAATATGCATCATGAAAAAAATTCTCAAAAATTAATAAAGTTTATCTATATCAGACTTTTCTTCTTTTTTTAATTATATAATACTTATATTATATATTTGCTCATCAAATTATAAAAGAAGTATCAGAAATCATCTGATTCTTTAGGAGAAAGAAAGAGAAGAGCTCAAACTATCACATTTTATTTTTTACTAATTAATTATTATTCAAAGTTTTTGAGAAAGATCATGTTTATACAAATATTATTTAAGTAAAATTTAAAAAGTATTTATTATATATTATTAAATAATTCAGGCTGATATTATTATAATATAATATTATGATAATGCAAGTTAATATTATCATAATTTTTACTAATATTATATAATTATTTATGCTAATTTATATATAATGAAAAAAATAAAAATTACTATTTTTTCTATGGTATTAGTTAGAGATATTCATAACTTTTTCTCAGAATAATATGCTTGAAAATTTATAAATAATTCTTCTTAAGAAAATATTAATATATATAATAATAAAAAAGAATCTAAAATAGCTAAATTGCTAAGTATATCATGAGAAGACTCTTTAATATTGACTTGTTTAGATATTTTTTGTTATTTTTATTAGTCATATTTATTTTTCTGATATTTTATTATAAAGCTAAGAGTGAGAAATTATTTTTTATAAGTTATATAACAAAGCTAGAAATGTAATTCATTTATAATAAAAAAATAATATTTATTATATGAAGAAATTTTTGTTTGATTAGTATACTTGAATATGTATATTAGTTTTAGATAATACTTATTTTTTTTAATAATAAAAGAAAGAAAGTTATAATTTTCTTCTAATAAATTTATTATATTTATTACTTAAAATTCTTAATAATAAGTTTGATCTTTATATTTTTAAAGATCTAAAATATTGATATAATTATATATATTTCTTAATTCAATTTTAAGTAAATCCAAAATTATTTTCTTCTTCAAAAAGATTGATATATTGATTAATATATTCATAAATTATATTTTTTTTCATGAATTAAATCTCTTTTTCATATATTATATAGTCTTTTATTCATGTATTAAAAAGTTTTATATATTAAATTATTATTTATTATCTTATCCTAATTATTCAAATATAAGCTAAAATAATTAATAGAAAAGAATATTTTAATAAGTTTTTCAAAAAGTATTATTATGCTTTACTTAACTAAATTATAAGTAAATTATCTAGGAATATAAGTTCATACAGTTAAATAATCTAAATTTTCTTTTTTAAAAAGTTTAAAGTATTCAAAAATATTTTTAAAATATTTTAAATTTTTATTTAGCTCTTTATTTATTATTAAAACTCAGATTAATTTTATTTTTTCTTCACATTTTATTATTTTCTTAAATTACTTACTATATATAATTTTTATAAGATTTATAATATAAGTTCTTATTAATATTTCTATAAAATATTCTGAATATATAGTAATTTTTTCTTTATCTAAATATTTCTCAAGAATTTTGATGTCATTCATTTTAAAAATATATGAAGTCAGCTTTTCTTTTTGAGTTTTCTTTAAAATACTTCTAATAATATTGTAATTTTAATGAATTTAATATAAATTAATTTTATATATTTTATTTTTATATAAATATAATTATTAATCATATTATATTATTTTCATCTCAGTCAATTTTAATATTAATTATAATCATAAAATTAATTTATTATTTTATAAACTCCTTTATAGTCACCTCTCTCTATAATTATCTAATTTTGCTTTCTCAAGAGTAATAACTATAGAAAGATTTGGCTATACTAATTTCTTATATAATTCTTCATATTTCTTGGCTTTAAGAAGTATAATCAGGCATGATCAAAATATGTAACAGATTATACTAATGTGTAAAGATAGCTTCTCAACTATTGCAATATGATGACAAATAAAGTATTACCTAGTTGCAACTAATTGTAACTTATAAAATTTTGGAGTTGTAACGTATTACAATAGATAATAAATAAGTATCACATACTAGTTATACCATCTTTACTAATGTGACATAACTGTTAGTTGATCTGATTAACTCTGTCTTATCATTCATATTTGCTTAAATAAGTATAATATCTTCTTTGTAACTTATTTTTTTTTAATTTTTTTACTTACATATTCTGTATTATTATTAGTTAAAGCAAATATTTTTTTCTTAATTAAAACTTTTCTTTTATATTTTCACTCATATGAAAACTCTTAATCTTCATATAAATTTAAAGTTTTAAAGATTATACAACCTATATTTCATGAAATATATCAGTTGACAATATGGAAAATACTTAATAGATTTATCAATTATGTATCTATTTGCTCTAATTGACAGAATTTTTTAGAATAAACTATATATATATTTTGAAAAGTGATATTTTTATTTTGAATAAACTTTATTTTGAATTTTGTTGTTAGAGTTTATTGATAATTTTTTACCATTATAGAGACTTTTTTTATATATATTATTATTTATTAAGTAGCATTTATATATTTTAATTATATTATAGATTTTTTCTTGAAATCTTTTACCTAATGTTTTAAAATTGATTCTTTCTTATGATTATACTTATTTAATTCAAAAATTTGATATCTTATCATCATATTGAATACAAGAGAACTTTGAAGTTGAAAATTTTGAGTTAAATGCATTTGTAAATGTATGTAATAAAAAAGATATATCAAAATAATTTGTAATATTTGAATCTTATTCAAAAACTATAATACTAGAAATAAGAGAATTTAAAATAATAGAGAATAGAATACTTTTTAGGGAATTACACCATTATATCCATAGTTATCAAATTAAGAAAAAACAAGAAAATTATATCAAAAAACATTAGTATTTATCTTAGGAATATGATATTAATTATATTGTAAATATTCATCTTTAATTAGAATATTAAAAACTTATATATAGCCATCTATTAGAAATTAATCTTAAATTTATGCACAATCATGTAATTAATTTAGCAGAATTACTCAGTTTTTATTATGTCAAAAATGAAGTTTGCAAAAAACTTATCAAGTTATTTAAAGATAGATATTCATCTACTTTCACATTATTTATATATGAAGATGAACTGTATCTTAATACTATGAATAATTAAGAATTATTAGAAATACTTTCTAATCAAGTATTCAATTCAGATTAGGATATTATTTTTCATCTTTTTTAAAAATATCATGAGACTATACTTGGCAGTTATAATGAAAAATTAATATTTGAGCGCTTAAGATCAATAGTTAAAGAATATAACAAGTCAGATTGGAATAAAGTGGTATTACAAGAATTTGATATAAATATTAGAAAGATATTTATATTTTGCATTATAATAAGTCTTATATGTCAAGTATATAAGAAAATTTTATAAGCATACAAGCTATATTATATGGATACTTTAGCTTTATTTGAATTTCTTAATATATTAATTACCTTCCTATATACTAGTTGCACAGTCAGTACTTTTCCATTCAGACTATTTATCATTTCAGATAAACTCAAAATTATAGTAGAAAAGATGATAAATTTATTAAAAATAATTCTTTCTAAATATATCTTTTTTGAATGTGATCCACAAATAGATTTGATTATTTTTCTTATAAATGATTCAAGAATAAAATATAATACTTTGAAAATATGTTAACTGCAAGATATATATATTTATTTTCTAAAATCTAATAAGAATTTATTAATGAAAATTTCTAAATTATTTATAATAAACTAATTTCTTATCTTTTTTGATTAAAACTTATTATAGGAATCCATCTTTTATGTATATTTCACATTCTTTAATTATTTTAGAAATGATTTTATGATCTGAATATCTTATTAAAAAGAAGAATCAAGCTTCTATAATGGAGAAGATGAAGAAAATTCTTTATACATTATCAGGTTCAGAGATAAATATATATTTTGATAATTTTAAAAATTCTTATTATCATTATTCACTTCTACAAAAATATTTTGAACTCTTGTAAAAGCATTATCAATTTTGGGTATTATCTTTTTGAATTAAATTATCTATATACAGAAATAATCCAAATAATTATGTTGAATAAAGTTTTAGAATTTTAAAAGATATAATTTTTATAAGAATATAAATATATAATTTGATATAAATATTTTAATTTATAATAATAAATATGAAGAGATTTTATGAGTGGAGACTACTTGAAATTATGCATAAATATTTTAAATACTTATATATTGCAAGATATTTTTTGTATTCTAGTTAGAACAGAGTGAATATGAATTTTATTAAAGAAATAAATATAAAAAATAAGTTTTTAGTTCTTAATACAAGACAAGATAATCTTTTTTATATTGTGAATAGTATTAGAAAATTTTTTGAAGGTGATTTATATTAATTTTTATCATTAATTATATATCAATATATATTAGAGTTATTGATATATATCAAACAGATATTTAATATATATTAATATATATTGAAGTTATCAATATATATTATTTAATAAAGTATATTATTAAATATCATTATTTAATGATGTATATTATTAAATATTATTATTTAATGAAGTATATTATTAAATATCATTATTTTATGATGTATATTATTAAATATTATTAAATATCATTATTTAATAAACTAGATTATTAAATATTATTATTTAATAATGTAGATCATTAAATATTGTTATTTAATAATGTAAATTTGTTAAATATTATTATTTAATGATATAGATTATTAAATATCATTATTTAATA